TTTTTTTGCACAGGTTATAAGCGAAAATAAACTTGGTTTTACTTGTGGACATCTATTTTTTATTACAAAATTTAAATATATTCAATTGATTATATTGAATATGTTATTAATAATTTTATTCTATCAGAAAATATGCATAAATGGATCATTCTAAAATGTAATCAAATCAACTAAAAAAGATTGTGAAGTAAAAAAAACCTTTTTTAATTGTATTCATTTTAACTTTTATCACATCCAAATAAATGTTAACCCTATACAGATAAATATTATAAAAAAAGTTGATTTAGTTGCTTAGTTAGTTTGTTTTTGTTGTGTGTGTGTGTGTGTGTGTTCCATAAAATTTTTCAGTACAAACTAATCGCTAAACTATAATAATAAAAAAGCATTATTATACAAAAGAAATCGATATTGATTTGATGATGGCGTTATGCAGAAATATGAAAATTTAAAGAAAAACGAAAAAAAATCCTATCGTCATTTTTCATATGACGAAAGGAAATTGAGAATGATTAATCGATAGTGAAACTTTGATCGAATGAGAAAAAAAAAGTGGAATTTAAACTGACAATAATTAGATTTATTCGATTCAAATTCATTTATTCAGTTGAACAAGTGGTGTGAATGATGGCTTTATCAATAGTGCCAAAGCCATGGAAAAATGTTCCCTTTGTGACGATATTTCAACGTGGTTTTGTTTATTTACAGATTTTTTCATTTCGATTACAATTTTCACTTGAAGATTATCAGAATAAAAATATACCATGGACATGGAAAACATTTCGATATACATTTTTATTGACACCAATGACATTGTTTTCAATAATATTTTTAGGTATATTGGCTATATGGCCAGACAATCATCCATTTATGGATTATCATGTTGTTGAAACAATATTAAAAACTGAACGTATGGATTTATTCATATTGGCATTATTTATTATGTCTATCATATTGGAAGCAATGTTTTTACATTTATCAAGTGATGCATTAAATTATCGTTCAGAATTTGTAAAATTTATTATTAATAATCAAAATTTTGATGAAAATGAACTTCCAAAAAATTCAGTTCAATTTTTGAAAAAATTCTATTCAATAATATATTTAACTGGAATAATTAGCTTTCGATTATATATTATTAATTGTATTTGTACGATTGTTCTTGCGTATTATTGGTCAATCATATTTTATACGAAAAATCTTACAACATTTAGACAATTAGTATTCACTTTTCCAGCATATTTTGTGGCTTGTTGGAATTTAACTTATCTTATTGGACAATTGCTTTTGACCGTTTTAACATTTATTGTGTTTGTCATTGAATTTTTTCAAGTAAAATTTGAAGAATTAGATAAACTAGCGAAGAAAGTGTCCAACCGTCATTGGACTAAAAATGAATTTATGAAAATATTCTGGAGTAGATTTCAAGTTGAATATGTGAAACTTTATGCTGAAATTTCTGATTTCAATAAATCATTTAGTGTGATGCTTTTGTATATGGAAACGGTATCCAAATCATCCATCATAATATCATGCATGTTTTACAGCAAACAAAAAGAGATAGGTGAATACTTTATGGTGGCAATCTTATCATTAATGTCAACTTTTGTTTGCGTAACAAGTCTTTATTCACGTGTAGCACGATTACCATCACATAATCGTCGTTGTTGTAAATCTATAATTAAATGGTTAGCACGAACACAATGGTCATCATCAAAAACAAAATTTAAAAATACAATTACAAGACAAGGGATTATAATTATAAACCGTACTACAATCAAATCGAATCTGTTCGTTCAAACTATGAGCGAAAATCAACTTGGTTTCACATGTGGTCATCTATTTTTTATAACAAAATTCAAATACATTGAATTGCTTTTAATGAACATTCCAATGATATTTATGTTTTATGAACAATTATGTATGGATTCATAATTATGAAATAAAACATGTTCTGAAATGTAGTCTAATTACATTGCAGATTCAAAATTTTGAATGAAAATTCATCTTATAATTTATTGTTCATTAACTATTGACCAATTTATCCTTGACAAAAATATATGTTCTATTCATTATGTTTTTAACTTTAATCAAATAATTGTTACAATAAAAACCAAATTTCGATTTATAATATAAAGTTAATTCTGTTTACTATAGTTGGTATTGCTTTTTTTTTTGTTTTCAATCGATTTCAAATGCAAAATAAGCTGATAATTTATCATTAAAATACAATAAAAAAACAAAGAATTATAGTGCAAAAGAAATCAATACAAGATTGATGATTGCGTTACAAAGAAAAATACTATTTTTATAAACAAAGAGAGAAAAAAATTTCATCATAATTTGTCATGATTGATCGATAATGAAGATTTGAATATGATAAAGAAGGCATTTTTACTATAGCACAATATTTAGATTCATATCATTTGCATATGTTTATTCGATTGAACCATACTTTTCGAATAATGGCACTATCGATCAAACCAAAATTTCAAAAAAATATTCGTTTTGCCAAAATATTTCAACGTGGTTTAAATTATTTGCAAATCTTTACATTTCGATTAAAATTTTCTCTTGAAGATTACCAGAATAGAAAAATTCCGCGGACATGGAAGACATTTCGATGGTCATTCTTGATCACATTGAACGCATTGTCAGCAATATTCTGTTCTGGATTATTGGCTTTATATCCAAAGACTCATCCATTTATGAAATATCATAATATTGAAAAAATACTGAAAACTGAGCGTATGGATCTATTTCTATTGGCATTATTCATAATGTTAATCATACTGGAAGCAATGTTTTTACATTTATCAAGTGAAGCATTAAATTATCGTTCATCTTTTGTAAAATTCATTATAAATAATCGTAATTATGATGAAAATGAACATTCAATAAAATATCTTCGATTATTGAAAAAATTCTATACCATTGTATATTTAACGGGAACGATTGGTTATGGATTATATGTTATCAATTGTATAGCTACAATTGGTTTCGGATATTATTGGGCCATTATATTCTATGAAAGAAACCTTACAACTATGGATGAATTAATTGTGAGTTTTCCAGCATATTTTGCAATTTGCACGGATATAGCTTATCGTCTTGGACAAATGTTTACGACCGTTTTATCATTTATCATATTTGTTATTGAATTATTTCAAGTGAAATTAGAAGAATTATTTAAACTTGCACAAAGAATGTTTAGTCGTCGATGGAACAGAAGTGGATTGAAAAAAATATTCTGGAATCAATTTCAAGTTAAATACGTAAAACTTTATGCTGAAACTGCTGATTTTAATAGATCATTTGGTAAGATGCTTCTCTATATTGAAATGGTATCAAAATCATCCATCATAATATCATGCATGTTTTACAGTGAACAAAAAGAGATAAGTCAATACTGTATTACGGCAATTCTATCATTAATGTCTGCTTTTGTTTGCGTAACAAGTCTTTATTCACGTGTAGCACGATTACCATCATATAATCGTCGTTGTTGTAAATCTGTAGTGTGTTGGTTAGCACGAACACAATGGTCATCATCAAAAACAAAATTTGAAAATTTAATTACAAGACAAGGGATTATAATTATAAACCGTACTACAATCAAATCGAATCTGTTCGTTCAAACTATGAGCGAAAATCAACTTGGTTTCACATGTGGTCATCTATTTTTTATAACAAAATTCAAATACATTGAATTGCTTTTAATGAACATTCCAATGATATTTATGTTTTATGAACAATTATGTATGAACACATCAATCTGAATTTTACAATTAGATCAACAACAACAACAAAAAAAAAAATTATAAAATTTAAAAAATTTGACTTTGCTAGAAAAAAAAATAAGTTTAATATTTATCATTATTGATGATTACATAATTTTGATATACATTTTGTTCATTAACTATTACCAAATTTCTTCTTCAATTATTTCGTAAGAATATTCGCTTAATAAAGTTTCATTCATTCAAATAATTCATATTTTGATTCATATTATAAAGTTAATTCTGTTTCATAGTTGGCATGGTTTTTTTGTGTGTTCAATCGATTTAAAATACAAAGTTAATAATTCAAAGCATTAAAATTCAATAAAAAACCAAAGCATTATAATGCAAAAAAAAAAATGTTTGATGATTGCGTTGCAAAGAGAAATACATTATTTTTTTGGGGGAACTAAGGGAAAAAATTTTATCATCATTTTTTTCAAACTAAAAAAGCAAATTTAAACTGATTGATCGATAATTGGAATTGAAATGGAAAAAAATGCAATTTCGTGAAATTCATTATTAATTTTTAAGAAATTTAATTTTTCAAGAATTTTTAATTCTATACCATTTTATATCGTGTAATTAACCTGAACAATTAGTTAATTTATTGTTCATTAACTATTGACCAAAAAATCGATTTGATATGTTTTTTAACTTTACTCAAATAATGGTTGTCATAAAAACCATATTTCTATTTCATTTTATAAAGTTAATTCTGTTTATTATTGTTGGTATTGTTTATTTGTTTTCAATAGATTACAAATATAAAGTTGATAATTCATCATTAAAATACATTAAAAAAAACCAAAGCATTATAGCGCAAAAAAGAAATCAATACTAGATTGATGATTGCGTTACAAAGAAAAATACTATTTTTATAAACAAGGAGAAAAAATATTTCATCATAATTTTTCATGATTGATCTATAATGAAAATTTGAATGAGAAAAAAAGACATTTTTACTATAGCACAATATTTAGATTCATATCATTTGCATATGTTTATTCGATTGAACCATACTTTTCGAATAATGGCACTATCGATCAAACCAGAATTGTCGAAAAATATACGTTTTGCGAAAATATTTCAACGTGGCTTTAATTATTTGCAAATCTTTACATTTCGATTGAAATTTTCTCTTGAAGATTATAAGAATAAAAATATACCATGGACATTGGAAACATTTCGATGGACATTTATATTCACACCAATGACATTGGCAGCAATATTCTGTTCTGGATTATTGGCTTTAAAGCCAAAGACTCATCCATTCATGAAATATCATCATATTGAAACAATACTTGAAACTAATCGAATGGATTTATTTGTATTGGATTTATTTATATTGTCAATCATACTTGAAGCTATGTTTATACAATTATCAAGCGAGGTATTAAATTATCGTTCATCATTCGTGAAATTCATCATCAATAATCAAAATTTTAATGAAGCACGACTTCCATATCAATCACTTCAATTTTTAAGAAAATTCTATTGCATTTTATATTCAATTGGTACAATTGGCTATGGTTTATATATTATCAATGCTATAGGCACACTTGGTTTCGGGTATTATTGGGCGTTTATATTCTTAGAAAGAAATCTTACAACAATAGATGAAATGATTTTGAGTGTACCAGCATTTGCAGTGATGTGTACGGATTTGTCTTATCTCGTTGGACAATTGTTCACGACCGTTTTATTTTTCATCGTATTTGTCATTGAATTATTTCAAGTGAAATTAAAATGGTTATATAAACTTTCACACAAAAATTTCAATAATCAATGTAAGAAAAATAGATCGAAAACAATATTCTGGAAAAATTTTCAAGATAAATATGTAAAACTTTATGCTGAAACTGCTGATTTTAATATATCATTTGGCAAGATGCTTCTCTATATTGAAATGGTATCAAAATCATCCATAATAGTATCATGCATGTTTTATAGTAATCAAAAAAAGATAAGTCAATACACTATTACGGCAATTCTATCATTAATGTCTACTTTTGTTTGCATAACGAGTCTTTATTCACGAGTTGCACGATTACCATCATATAATGGTCGTTGTTGTAAAAATATTATCAAATGGTTAGCACGAACACAATGGTCTCCATCGAAAGCAAAAGTCAATCATCCAATTAATGAACGAAGAATTAGAAATATAAACCGTACTACAATCAAATCGAATCTATTCGTACAAGTTATGAGTCAAAATCAACTTGGTTTTACATGTGGTCATCTATTTTTCATAACAAAATTTAAATACAATGAATTGGTTTTGATGAACATTCCATTGATATTAATGTTAATATTAATGTTACTTAGTCCATATTTTTCTCATTTGTTCAATACAAGTTTAATTTATTGGTCATTAAAATGCAATAAAAAGTAAAAACAAAATTACACAACAAAAAAAAACTATATATTGGTTTCACGATTATGCAATGTAGAAATATGCTAATTTTTAAATATTTATAAATCTAATCATCATTTTTATATAATTGAAGTGAATAATTTCATTATTATTAATTGTATAATCGATAATGAGAATTAGCATTAAAAGTTTGATGAGAAAAATAGTTCAATTTTAGCTGTGCAATCACAGGATTCATTTCATTTCGATACATTCATTCTTTTGAATTTGTTTCAAATGATGGCCATATCAATCATACCAGAATTACCAAAAAATGTTCGTTTTGTAACAATATTTCAACGTGGTTTTGTTTATTTGAAATACTTTTTATTTCGATTACAATTTACACTTGAAGATTATCAAAATAAAAATATACAATGGACATGGAAAACATTTCGAATTACATTTATGCTTACATCAATGACATTGACAGCTATATTTTGCCTTGGATTGTTGACTTTATTTCCTAAAGATCATCCATTCATGAGTTTTCATAATATTGAAACAATATTAGAAACTGATCGTATGGATTTATTTACATTGGCATTATTTATTATGGTTATCACACTGGAAGTAATGTTTTTGCATTTATCAAGCGAAGTTTTAAATTATCGTTCTTCATTAGTAATATTCATTATTAAAAATAACAATTTTGATGAAAATGAACTTTCTGAAAAATCCATTAAATTTTTAAGTAAATTTTATACCATTACATATCTATCAGGTATGATTGCATATCGATTATATATTATTAATGGCATAGCTACAATTGCCATTGCATATTATTGGGCTATCATATTCTATAAAGAAAATCTTATAACATTAAAAGAATCGATTTTAAGTATGTTTGCATTTGGTTTGATTGTTACTGATTTAACTTATCTTATTGGACAATTGTTTATGACCATTTTATTATTCATCATATTTGTCATTGAATTATTTCAAGTAAAATTGGGAGAATTATATAAATTTGTACAAAAAATGTTTGACCATTATTCGACTTATAATGGATTGAAAACAATATTTTGGAATCAATTTCAAAATAAATACGTAAAACTTTATGCTGAAATTGTTGATTTTAATAATTCATTTGATGTTATGCTTTTCTACATAGAAACAGTATCAAAATCATCTATCATAATATCATGCATGTTTTATAGCAAACAAAAAGAAATAAGTCAATATTGTATAATGGTAATTGTATCATTAATGTCAACTTTTATTTGTGTAACTATTCTTTATTCACGTGTTGCACGATTACCATCATATAATCGTCGTTGTTGTAAATCTATAATGAATTGGCTAGCAAGAACACAATGGTCGTCACAGGAATCAAAATTCCATTCATCCATGATTATAAACAGTATGATAATTAAATCAATTTTTTTTGCACAGGTTATAAGCGAAAATAAACTTGGTTTTACTTGTGGACATCTATTTTTTATTACAAAATTTAAATATATTCAATTGATTATATTGAATATGTTATTAATAATTTTATTCTATCAGAAAATATGCATAAATGGATCATTCTAAAATGTAATCAAATCAACTGTTGTTTAGTTATAGAAGATTTTAAAGTAAAACAAAAACACCTTATTAATTGTATTCATTTTAACTTTTATCTCATCCAAATAAATGTTATTTTTATAATAACCCTATACATAAAAATATTATAAACAAAGTTGATTTAGTTGCTTAGTTAGTTTGTTTTTGTTGTGTGTGTGCGTATGTGTTCAATAAAATTTTTCAGCACAAATTTGAAACTTATTACTGAAATTGTAATAATAAAAAAACATTAAAGAATTTAAACCTATCAAATTGGTAATGATGTTTTAGATATTTTATACATGAATGCAATGATCATTAATAACATGATTATCAAATTCAACAATAATTTTTTATCTCATTAAAAATTTGACTTTATTTGAAAAAATATCATTGATATTGTTATAAAAAATAATAGTTTCAATCTATTTCATAACCTATTCCTAATTATTTTTATTGATCGATTTATTATTGACAAAAAATTTACTGAAACCCTACTCCAACCTTGATTGATTTGTCTATTCAACATAAGAATCAAATTACTATCGATGATCGATCGAAATTCAGTATACAAGTTACGTCTTGGAATCATTTCACTATGGAAAAATAAATCGATTTTTTCTATACCGTTGTTAGGATTCATTTCATTCAAATTCTTTTATTCAATAGAACAGGTTATGAATCATGATGACCATATCGATCATACCAAAATCGCTAAAAAATATTAGTTTCGAAAAAATATTTCAGCGTGATCTATTTTATTTGCAAATCTTTACATTTCGATTAAAATTTTCTCTTGAAGATTATCAAAATAAAAAAATACCATGGATATGGAAAACATTTCAATATACCATTTTTATTACATCAAATGCATTGGCAGCAATATTCTGTCTTGGATTATTGTCTTTATGGCCAGAATCTCATCCATTTATGAAATATCATGATATTGAAGCAATACTAAAAACTGAACGTATGGATTTATTTATATTGGCATTATTTATCATATTAATTATGTTGGAAGCGTTGTTTTTACATTTATTAAATGAAGTTTTAAATTATCGTTCATCATTTGTAAAATTTTTAATCAATTATCAAAATTTTGATGAAAATGAACATCCAATAAAATCAATTCAATTTTTAAGAAAATACTATGCCATTATATATTCAGTGGGAACCATTTGTTATGGATTATATATTATCAATAGTATTGCTACGATAATCTTTGCATATTATTGGAGTATTATTTTTTATATAGAAAATCTTACAACATTGAAACAATTATTTTGGGCTTTGACAGGATTTTTTTTGATTAATAATTTAATAGGTTATCATGTTGGACAATTTCTTTTGACTGTTTTATCATTCATAGGATTTGTCATTGAATTATTTCAAGTGAAATTACAAGAATTATTTCAACTTGTACAGAAAATTTTTCGTCGTAATTGGAACAATAAGATATTGAAAAAAATATTCTGGAATCGATTTCAAGTTGAATACGTGAAACTTTATTCTGAAATTGCTAATTTCAATATATCATTTGGTACGATGCTTTTGTATTTGGAAACAATATCCAAATCATCCATTATAATATCATGCATGTTTTTAAGTGAACAAGAAGAGATAAGTCAATATTGTATAATGGCAATTGTATCATTATTGTCAATATTTTTTTACATAACTACTCTTTATTCACGTGTAGCAAGATTACCATCGAATAATCGTCGGTGTTGTAAATCTATAATGAGTTGGTTAGCAAGAACACAATGGTCATCATCAAAAACAAAATTTTATCAATCAATTAATGGAAGAAAAATAAAAATTATAAACCGAACGACAATCAAATCAAATTTGTTCGTACAGATTATGAGTGAAAATAAACTTGGTTTTACATGTGGTCATTTATTTTTCATCACCAAATTCAAATATATTCAATTATTATTATTAAATTTTACATTGATTATAAAATTTTATAAAAAAATTATACATGCATCAAAAATTAAGAATCATTAATGTAAACTCAGGCATCTTTTTTGTTTTTTATTCGATGTAAATTCATCTTAATCGATTATATTACTGAACATTATATTCATTCCTTTATCAATAATCATTATTAAATCCAAAAATAAAATAAAATTTTTGAATTTATAAATTAAAATTGCAAAACCTATAGCGCCATCCAATGATTTAATCATGAATTAGAAAATTCTAAAGTACTATCATCTATGAACATTCTAAAACACACACACGCATAATTAGGAAAAAAATAGGAGTATAAAGCAGCTGAGCTTTTCAATTTACTCAAAAAAAAAGTTTAAAGGATAACGTCATCGATTTAATTTTGAATAAAATAGAAAATTGAATTCAACATTTTCTAAATCTATTTATTGATTTTATCGTTATTTGATCGATCTCAGCTCAACATCAAGATCAATATGGGTCTAACGATATCAAGCTTATTTACACGTTTGTTCGGTAAAAAACAGGTCCGAATATTGATGGTTGGATTGGATGCAGCCGGTAAAACAACAATTTTATATAAATTAAAATTAGGTGAAGTTGTTACAACTATTCCAACTATTGGATTCAATGTTGAAACAGTTGAATATAAAAATATTAGTTTTACTGTTTGGGATGTTGGTGGACAAGATAAAATTCGTCCATTATGGCGACATTATTTTCAAAATACACAAGGTCTTATTTTTGTTGTCGATAGTAATGATAAGTAAGTGAATCAATTTTTTTCCATTTAATGATTCTATATAATTTCTAATTCATATTTTTATTTTAAAAAAAAATCTAGAGAACGTGTCAATGAAGCAGCTGAAGAATTACAACGAATGTTAAATGAAGATGAATTACGTGATTCAATATTATTGGTATTTGCAAATAAACAAGATTTACCAAATGCAATGACAACATCCGAATTAAAAGATCGTTTAGGATTAGGACAAATGCGTAATCGTCATTGGTATATACAGGCAACATGTGCTACACAAGGTGATGGACTTTATGAAGGTCTTGATTGGCTTTGTACCGAAGTTTCGAAACTTTCTTGAAGAAAAAAAAAACGTTCCAAATTTGAAGAGAGAAAAAAAATTATAATTATAATTTACATTTGTACTATTTGTTATTGAATATATGTCTATACACAAATGAATTCCAATTAATTACTATTTCAGGAAAAACAAACGATTATTTTAGTTTCATTTTTTTCAAACATAAAACACACACACACATGATAATTGTAATAACATTTTAAACATTGATTGAATGAAAATTGGACAATTCAATTAGACAATTTTTTTTCATTTCATTTTTTTTGATATTTTAAAGCAAATTGATTTAATTTATAAAACTTTAATGCAATTTTTTTTCATTGAATTATTAATAAAATGATTGATTTGTATTATTTGAATATGATTTTTTTTTTTGTTTGCAAAGGAATCATACAACATTTTTCATTTTTGTGATGAATGTATAATTTTTTTATAAAATTTTATAATTAAATTAATATTTAATAATAATAATTGTATATATTTAAATTTAGTTATAAAAAATAAATGACCACATGTAAAACCAAAACGATTATTATTCATTATTTGTATGAATAAATTTGATTTAAATGAATAACGGGAAATTTTTTGATATGATTTTTTATTAATCAAAATTTTTCTATCATTTTGTTTCAATATTAACCATTGTGTTCGTGCTAACCAATTTAATAAATATTTTGTACATAATTGATTACATGTTGGTAAACGTGAAACACGTGAATAAAGAATAATTGGATAAAAAAATGTCATTAACATTATCATTATTGATGTTGTACTGAATAAATTTAAATGTGTTTGTCGACTATAAAATAAAATTGCCACAATAATTGCACCTTTCGATATAATATCCAATATAAACAATAAAAAACTTAATGTTGGATTAAATCTAATTGTTTCAGTGAATAATTTTAAATATTCATTATGAAATTTATTCCAAAATAATCTGGTTTTATTTATACCATTTTGTTTGATAATTAAATGATAGGAATTTGATGCCGATATTGATTTCATTAATAAATGTTTCATTCTTATATGAAAAAATTCGACCAAAAATAAAATAAAATTTGTATCGATAAATAATTGTCCCATCATATTGATAATATGCATGGCTAAAAAACCAAAATTCGGTATCGAATAAAGAATTTGTGCTAAATTAATTTGATCTTTAGCATAGAAAATTAATATAATAAATATGAACAGAAAATATATTATAATTAGACTAATCATTACAATTTGATTTGATAATTTTGCCAAAAAATTTGTTATTGAATATAGTTTTTTTAAATATGTTAATGAATCTGTTTGTAATTTTTTCGAATCAAAAGGAATATTGTTAATAAAAAAATTATTAATCGATGAACGATAATTGATAACTTGACGAAATAAATGTAACCATAAATATTCAAGTATGATATAGCAAAAAAATAATCCAATTAATAGTATTTTAATATTTTCAATATTAAATATACGATCCAAATGATGATAATCAAGTATATATGGATTATTTTCAAAATAAATTGTTGCAAATAAAATCATTAATACAATCCATGCATTCAATGTCATCCAAATGGTACGTTTAATTGTTTGATATGAATAATGAATATTACGATTTCGATAATCGGATAATGAATAATTTAAACGAAATGAATATGTTTTAAAATTTTCAAAACCTTCAATAAATATATCATCCATCATTTGTAATTCGTTTTCAGTTGAAAATCGTATAATTTTTATTATTGTTGTTGTTTTTTTTCTTCGGTTTTAGTTGATCTTGATATGAATATTATTCAGTCAAAAATGAATTCTTCATTCATTTTGCTGATTTACAATTATTAAATTATGCTTTGCTAGAATTTTTTCTGTTTAAATTAATCAATTCTTTCATTCAATCGATTTTTTTTTCGAGTTTCACAAAAGGTTTAAATTACTTTTTTTTCAAAAAATTTCAACTTTTTCTTGATAAAATAATGTTTGTTATTAGTTTAATATTTACACTAGGAAAAGAAGATGAAAAAAAAATAATCAATCTCAAAATTCCATTAGAACCGAAAAAAACAACAACAACAACTTTAATTAGCCCATTGTGTTCAAGTGCAGTGAAGTTTTTTCATTTAAAACATTTTGACAGAATGAAAAATTGATTTTTGTCAAATAAATTTTCTGCATTTTTTTGCTTTTTTAATGCTTCCGAAAACCAAAATCATTTGTAATTAAATTTAATGGAAAATATAGGAAAAATCATTAAGTATTAAACGTTTTATTAATTTTATAAATGAGAGAGAATAATAATTAACGATCTATTTTTCTTTTTTTTTTTTTTTTTTTTTTTTTTTTTTTTTTATAAAAATTTTTTTTTAAAAAAAATTTTTTTCTAAAAATTTTTAAAAATTTTTTTTT